TCTGTTGTCCTCAAGGTGCGACACTATCGCATATCACGAAATTTGAGAGCGACCATGCAGTCAAAGGTAGAGAGGAACCAGCCATGAGAGGGCGAAGGCAAGCAGCGCGTCTAGTCAAGGTCAGGCGAGCGGCTAGCCGTGTTGCTGCGGCTGAGTCCTAAGCGGCATCCGGGAAACACTACTCCTCAGCCACGCTGTCATGCACTGCTGAGCGGAAAAGTGGCACGCTATTGCAGTTGCGGTCATATTCACCACGTGGTAACGACAAGAATTCTTGGAGATAGGGTAACTTATACCGCAATGCGACCGTTTGTATTTCTTTGGAGAATGCGTTTATAGATTTGACTGGGAGAATGCGAATACTTCAGTTCGTTGCGGATGAAGGGCGTGTCAGGCAGTGTGAGTGTGCGACGGCGCCGAACCCGTTCTCTGCCAGTTGTTGAAGCGGATATGCGACAACAATTGGTAGAAAACGAGTGATACGAACGATATAATACACATTTGTCACTTGCTCGCTTCAACAACCGGTGAAGAACGGGTTTGGCACCTCGCTAAACTCGTCCCGCCTGACATGCCCCATCGTCCGCAGCAAGCAGACTATGAGCTCGAAGGGAGATGTGCAACCATGTATAAGTTTCACACCAGAAAATGGAAAGGTAGCGGCGGTAAACCACAAGGGTACTCAGCTGAATTCTCCCTCTTTGACAGATGTATTATCTGGGGTCTTGCTGTTTGGAAGGTCTCTCGCTGCCTTGTCTGGCCTCTGACACGGTAAGCACATTTGTGTCTTGTCTCTCGCTTGGCACACGCAGGGCCTTATTCGGAATGTTTTCGATGGTTTATCCTTTTTTTCATGGGCAAGTCAATTAGTACATACAATTCTGACTGGAATCCGCTACCTAAGAAGTTCCGCTGGTTCACTGCGAAGTTTGCTTGCAATATGTGATGATTTCCAGTTTTGGAGAGTTTATGTTTTTATTGTCAGAGGTTAGTTGTTAGTACGACGTCTCATCAGAAAAGCGGAAGCAGTGGTTGCTCTTCGTTATCTTCGAGGAGATCTTCATCTTTCGACTTCTTCGACTTTTTCGTGGCTTGACTCCGTCGCCAATCACCAATCACTCCCCACATATCAAACACGAGTTCTTCAGGAAATTCAAACACGGATAATTCTGACTGAAATAAGGCTGTTATGAGGGTCAAGGCAGTGTTAGAGAAATTTGACCATTTTCTAAGTTCCTGTATAGCAGAGGGTTATACTCTAACATACTTCTCGGACAGCTTTATTCATTTGAGGGAGTGTTTCGCACGACATAGCCAGATCCCACAGAGACTGTGCCATCTGGTCGTCCTGCACACCAAGGTAAGAGTCCAGTATATCATTGAGACGGCCGATCATAACTTTGTCAACGGCGCCCTGGAATCTTTGCTTTCAACGAATTTATAGCCATGGGAACCCGATCTCAAAGATCTCACCTCTTCGATGACCACTCCACCGTTAGCCTTAAAACGAAGGGTGCGCATTCCATCGTTGATTGACTGCTTGTGTGTTTTCAGCGAACGAGGACCAACTTGTTGGAAACCAGACTGTTTGGGAGAAACCACACGTAGGGTGAACCTGAGGCACAGTGATATTAACTTTCATTAACACTGG